TATGTCTGAGCTACATTCAATATCTTAGTTCAAACTGCTTTTCTTTCACTGTTGATATTTGACAGTTAATGTGGATCACAACCACATTATTGCAAGAATTCCTTCTATTCTGTAGCTTTTGTGGGCCATGCTTGAGATCTATTGGTAGCTTAACATCCAAACAGTAGGCTGTAGCATGTTTGGACTGTTACTCAGTTGTTTGGCATGCCATCATTATATATATAGCAAGTGATCATTCCAGCTAGCTCAGTATGAGCTCACACACTTACAAAGCATACATTCACAATATGGATGAGCCACATAGACATACTACAGGACTGAGAATGATAAGTTTTCACCACACCCAGTACCTTATGCAACTCAGGTAACATCTGACTGTTTAGAAATTCTTAGTTATCCTTTCCAGTCATATAAATTGTTCATGTTCTAAGCATTACTTCTACTAATATCAGTTGTCCTAACTTTTGAAACCTAGTGAAAATCAATATATAAAACATCTAAAAACTGAAAGGGATTTGTGACACTTTCCATGCTATTGGAAGGATTCATAGATTAGGAAATATTTTAAAGATATTATACGTAATCTATTTGATTTTGATTTATTGAAATATTATATAATGGTAGCTAGTGAATCTAGAACATTAACAACCTACAAGCTTTTAACAATAGATAGACTACCCAAAATACAATTGACACTATGTGATAAATAAAAGTATATAAAAACTCCTGAACATACCTTCAACACACACTGGTATATTGCCTTGGATAACCTTATTCTGATTGTAGGTGTGAAGCTCTTGTGGTTGTGTTCTGATACACTGTCTTGTTTTCAACCTCTCACAGTCAATCCCACATAACATTAGACATCCCTTTTCTCCCTACCTTACTCAGACTTGCATCTGTTTGAGCCATACAGGGCTCAGAAGTGAGTCTGTGGGCTCCTTCTACTTACATATGTGAGTTTTCATATTTATGGTGAGCATAGTACACATGACAGTTTGTGGTGGCTTTGTGCTTGACATCAGCCAATCCTACGACCACACCTTCCCAATGCCTGTGGGGTGCAGTTCTGAACACCTGATCATTTCTGATATCTGGTCTCTAGGGGCTAGGCTTCTCTGTCTTTACATCCTAGAGCTGGTGGCTACTTTTATGTTTCATCTTTCTGGTCTTTTTATGATCCATTCAGACACCTCAGTTGTTTTTCTTCCTTCCCTTGACATCAGGGCATTACTTCTTGCAACTTTTTTTTCTTGGCTCTGGAATTTTTTTGGGGCCCATGACCACCATGCTCAGTTGTTTATCTATTATATTTCTAAAGCCCAGGCTCTGGTGGCAGACCAACTATTTTGTCTAGGCCTGGACCCTTCTCACAGAGTGCTTTCTCCATCTTCTGGTGTTATCTGCAGATTTACTCCCATTATGGACATTCTATCATCATGCCTTTCTACCTCCCCTTCACTTACCTCCACTCATTTGGTATCCTATCCAAGACTATACAATTCTGGGCGAGGATGCTCTTTGTTTGGTGTGGTTTAACTTCCTTTTATATGCTTCAGACATATTTCATCCCCTTTTCCCTTGCAGGAACAATCACTTGCTTTTGTCTTGGGCTCCTCTCACACTATTTACCACATAGACAGGTACATCAAATTTTCAATACCTGAAAATGTATTTCAGACAGATACTCACCTGTATGCATCACCTCTAACATTTCTTCCCCACTACCAGTGCCATTAGTTTTTGCCTTGTTCACATGCTAGTGCTCATGGGGGATTACTGCACATGGAAGATGTGATGCCCTCCTATTAGTGGAGGGCTATAGTTTAATAATGATTACAGTACAGGTTGATGCTATAAACATTGACATGTGTAAGGATGTGGGAGCTTTGTTTAAGACTTGTGGTATGCACAGAAATTAACACAGCAGTGTCTGTGAAGTAATAACTCTTGATGGTGCAAAGAGATGAATACCTGTCTGAAATACATGTTCAGGTGAGGAAAATGTTAACTTTGTTCTTTACATCAACATCATCTTGCACCCTGACTAGTTTGAGATCAGATTGATGCCACAAATTTACAGATCTATCTCAAATACAAAGACTTTTGTAACACATCTGATTGTTCTTGTATATTTTACTAAAGGTTTGCCACATTTTGTGTAGATACACATAATAAATGTGGAATTATAGGCATCATTCCTTCTCCAATACATGGTTGGAAAATAAACCCTGCACACTAAATTAACTTGTTATGCTCTAAATCTTCCTTTTCCAATCTCTCTGTTGCCCTAGCCACCCAATCAATGTATTTATTTCCAATTTCCCAAGCTCTCTTATCACTAACATCCTACTACCTAGCCTGATTATGTGGAGCCAATCCCTAGCATATATACTTATATATACTATATTTATATACTATCTCATAGGTTCTTCCTTGACTTAGTTCTGCTTCCAATCTACTTTTTTTCCCCACAAATAGTGCAGTTTTATCCAAAGCTGTTTTTAACCTATTCTCATAAAGAATACTTTGCAAGTGTAGTGTTCTTTATCTTTATGAACCTTCTAAAAGTCACAATCAAGCCCACAATCTCAAACAAAACTGTAACCCAGTACTCACTGTACCCTACAAGACCCATTCCACTTATGCTTGAACTAACTTTAATGATATTGCAGTCTTACTAATTTATATTATCTCTTACCAATCTACTTATCAAGTAATTTTATATGTAACTAAAATTATTCATCAAGAGATTGATCATTATTCGAACCAACCTTCTTTTCCTGATGTTGCCCAACTTCCTCCTGAACAAGCTGAACCTATTCGGGACGACAATGGTTTTGATAGCCTTTTTCCTCCACCTGAACTTTCCATGTCCACCCCAGTTACTCCTGTGGATTTCATTAGGCCTGATACAGCTTTTCTGAACATGATTTCACATGTATGTTCTGTTTTCTCCTGTTCACCGATTTCCTATAATCTTCTACCTTCCTTGTTACATCATACTCCTTCTTCTCAGTATTTCGTATTTGCACTGTCTCCTGATATTGGAGTTCATGCTGAGCATTTCGTATCTCATTTATGTGATGGTGCAAACATGCCTCACCCTCCATGGGCTGTAGACCAGTTTCATTTGGCCTACCATCAGGCCGAATTTTTTTTCCTGGGCTCACAACACTTGGAATTTCTTTTACCTGTTTGGGGGGCGGATCATGATTGTCCTGTTATTTTGCCTCATGTAAAATTTTCTCACTTTTGTCTTGCCCCTATGTCTATCCTACAATACTTGTTTACCATCCACCTTTTGTTTGAGGTGATCCGGGCCTGGCATGGCCAGGTGGTTAGGGTGCTCGACTTGCAATCTGTGGGTCGTGGGTTCAAATCCCCATCACACCAAACATGCTCGCCCTTTCAGACATGGGGGCATTATAATGTGATGGTCAATCCCACTATTCATTGGTAGAAGAGTAGCCCAAGAGTTGGCGGTGGGTGGTGATGACTAGCTGCCTTCCCTCTAGTCTTACACTGCTAAATTAGGTATGGCTAGCACAGATAGCACTAGTGTAACCTTGTGCAAAATTCATAAGAAACAAACAAACAAACTGAGGTGATCC